TTTAATTTGTGTTAAAAGATCATGCAAACGTTCTTCATTTTAGGATTTGCAACTCGGGTTTCACGTGTGGCGTTGTGGCGCGAGTTCGTGATCGTGACACGCGACGGAATATTGGCATGAGAGAGGGAGGGAGTGAATGTTAATGGCTTGGCCTGCTGGAAAATGGGATGGGAGGGTGGGGGGAGTATGGGGAGGGGGATGAGGGCGAGGAGGGAGGAAGTGCGATGTCGCCGGGATCTCTTGCAAGACGTGCAATTGAAGGGGAGTGACGGCGAAGGCGTGATTCTGACCGCGGCGGCGATGACAAGTCATCCGCCGGAGAGCCAGTCTGTGTTCGCAACTCGGCACGCTTCTTCTGTTCTCATTTATTTTTAGATTTGTTCGTTTCTTGCTTTGTTTTCTTCGCTGGGTTTGATTAATCACCATTTTTTTCTGCGAGGGTGGAGCAGGGGAAATGATATTGAAAAACACTCGAGAAGCACTCTATGGCCATGCTGCAGACTCCGGAGCCGCAGCCCACGAAACCCGCGAGTAGTGTCCCCGTTGTAGTCCCCCGGGGAAGCACACGCATTATGAAGGTGCGAGTCAGGTAGTGGACAGACGAGCCGTGGTGCTGGTCGGCCAGAGCTCTGCTGTTATGTTTCTGGGAAGTCGAAGGATCTTGTTTTGAGAGGCTGTGACAGCGGTGTTGTCTAGGCAGCAGTTGTGGTAAGTGAGGATGATGTCACGCTGGGAGGGAGGGGGAGGGAGAGGGAGATGCTCGTCCCTTGACATCCTACGTGCCCGAGACGTCAATAAGGCCGTCCAATCCGTGCCCTTGTGTCTCCTTGAAGGCACATTCGATTGACCTTTGCCTCGTATTATCGCAAGAACGAGGGCGTCCTCAGATACGCCAGGTACAGGCCGCTCGATGACACACTTCAGCCCGAGGAAAATCCTTGAGGTGATCCTGCGTATCAGCCAAAGGTACGCTGCAGGGCCAGGCGAGGGCGGTACTGCCTCGTTAGCTGAGGGGCCTTTGATATCCCAGAGAAACCCAGACTGTCGTAAAGTGCGGTGGGTCGGCCGTGCCCTACTCAAGGGACCATTTTGGAGGCGCTACCGCTCGCTCGCTCGCTCCGACTCGTGTTCTACTCACTTCTTTTCCTCTCTTTCTTGACTCTCGCCTCGACTCTACTCTTGTCCCATCTATTCTCGTTGTCTTTCTCTTTTTTTTATTTCTCTTAATTTCAGTTTTCTCTAGTTTTGTGTTTCTCATTTTCCTTCTCTTACATCTCTCTCTCTCTCTTCCTCTCTCTCTATCTGTCTATCTATCTCTCCCTCTCTCCCTCTATCTCTCTCCCATTCCCACTCCCTCCCTTCTTCTCCTCCCTCTTTCCTCGTTCTTCTCTCTTCCCTCTTCTCTCTTTTACAAATGTCTATATGTAGTATGTATCTGCATATGGAGACTCGTATGAACTGAAGAAGATCATAGAGAAGGTCAAGTGAGGTCATATAGGGTGAGATTGTGGGTGACAGTGCACACGGCGGACAAGCCTGGCTTAATGAGGGACTGCTCCCAGGCAGGTGAGGCGAGGCAAGGTGGGACCGGGGCGCGACGAGGGGTGCGGGGCAGAGGTGGGCTAGGGGGAGCTTTCAGGGAGACGGGAAGGGGAGGGGAAGGGGAAGGGGGAGGGGGTATGAGTGGGGCGACGGGCATGGATTGTTGCCATACTGCTTAGGATTTTGTTGGGGTCAGGTCAATTCAGGTCAAGTAGGTGCGGCGAGCCGGGGGTGGTGTTCCCCTTTTCTCTTTTGGGCGGATTTAGGCCATTTTTTCCCTCACTTTCTGTTCCTTCTGTATGATGTTAACTGTGTTGTATTTAGTAGGAGGGAAGGGTAATTTGATTGATGTTCGCCGTTTATACTATTTCATCACATAGTCTGCTGGGTGTATGGATATGTGTGTGCATATATATGTGCAGTACATATATATACAAATAGAATGCAATACAGTGTGTAAGAAGCATGTGCAAGTAAAGGCACAAGAAGTCATGCACGAACACTCCTTGTTATGCAATATAAGATGACTTTCTTTATATTTTTCATATTACAATAATTTAAGTGCCTCCCCCCTGACCCCCTCCCCCTCCTCTTCTCTGCTCACCTGCTTCAAGGTTCCGAGCGAAGGAAGGAGGAAGGGAGGGATCGAAAGGTCACCGCTTGGGTCAGGTCACGGCTTTTGTAGACAAGGTCATTAAATATACCACAAGGGAAATCTCGTGAGCTCACCTGCGGGTGGGGGGAGAAGGAGAAGAAGAGGTACTTACTTACCTACTTACTTACCTACTTACTTACCTACTTACTTACCTACTTACTTACCTACTTACTTACCTACTTACTTACCTACTTACTTACCTACTTACTTACCTACTTACTTACCTACTTACTTACCTACTTACTTACCTACTTACTTACCTACTTACTTACCTACTTACTTACCTACTTACTTACCTACTTACTTACCTACTTACTTACCTACTTACTTACCTACTTACTTACCTACTTACTTACCTACTTACTTACCTACTTACTTACCTACTTACTTACCTACTTACTTACCTACTTACTTACCTACTTACTTACCTACTTACTTACCTACTTACTTACCTACTTACTTACCTACTTACTTACCTACTTACTTACCTACTTACTTACCTACTTACTTACCTACTTACTTACCTACTTACTTACCTACTTACTTACCTACTTACTTACCTACTTACTTACCTACTTACTTACCTACTTACTTACCTACTTACTTACCTACTTACTTACCTACTTACTTAC